GTGGTTGGTGCATATACTTGGATTATTGTAATGTTGAAAGGTGTGCCTTGGATTTGTATTGAAGTCATTCTGTCATTTTTGAGATTTTATCCCAGTGCAGCTTTCCCCCCCTCCTTTGTTGACTATGCGAGCTACTCCACTCCTTCTACGGGATTCTTGCCCTGAATAGTATATATGGTCATCGTATGAATTGAATCCGCCAATTCCCGTCCATTTTAGTTCACTGATGCTCAGGGCGTCAATGTTTATTCTTGCCATCTCTTGTTTGACTACATCCAGCGTACCAAGGTTCATAGATCTTACATTCCAGTTTCCTGTGCAGTACTTTTCTTTGCAGCATCAGACTTTCCTTTCACTTCCTGGCGCGTCCGCAGCTGAGCGTCCTTTCGGCTTTGGCCCAACCACTTCCTTAGCTCTGGAGCTATTTGTACTTGTCCTCCGCTCTTCCTCAGTAGCATGTTGGATGCCTTTTGACATGAGGGACTCATCTTCCAGCATCATATCTTTTAGCCTTTTGTTTCTGTTCACGGGGTTTTCTTGGCAAAGATACTGGAGTGGTTTGCCACTGCCTGCTCCAGGTGGATCGCGTTTAGTCAGAACTCTCCACTATGACCTGTCTGTCTTGGGTGTCCCTGCACGGCATAGCCCATAGCTTCTCTGAATTCCTCAAGCCCCTTTGCCATGAAAAGGCAGCAATCCGTGAAGGGGAAAGTTTGAAATGCACACATCCAATTTCTAAAGACTATTTAACTGATATTTTTCAAGTGAATAAATGAAGTCATATACTTAAATTAACTTTTATGAAATATATTGTTATTAAAACACTTCAAATTCCAATTGCTTAATTTTGAAAATAAAATCTAATAAACAAAAATGTAAACACATGAACATGTTTTGAATTAAATCAATTTAATAACACTCTTTGCCCTAGCAAACTTAGAATGTCTAGGTTCAAAGGGTGGAAGATGCAATACAATTTCTTGGAACCTTCGATGTATCACAGACATTCTAGTTCTTTGGCTGTATCCACCTTCCTGGAACCAGCTTCCAGGCTCCTGGCCATGCTGGTGTCTCTTGAAGGCCAGCATGACTCGCAGCTGACTCCAGTGCCCACTTCCTTTTTTCCCTTGTTCTTTTTTTTCTCCTTGCTTTGCACTTCCCTTCTGGAAAATGCAAGGGTGCAAAGACAAGTATATTGCAGCTGCTTTTATGAATTTTTGAATATTTCAGGTGAGGTTAAATCAAAATTGCTGGCAGCTGGATAGCTCAGCAAATAAAGTATGTGGCTATGGAGCCAGAATTAGCGAGTTCAGTTCCCACTGTGCATCCCAGAGGAGCCAGCCTGTGTGGCCTTGGGCAAGCCACACAGCCCCCAGGTGTCCCCAGTAGAAGGGAACAGTAAACCTCTTCTGAGTACTCACCATGTAGAGAAGCCTGAAAAAGGTCACCATAAGTCAGAATTGACTTGATGGCACACAATTACAGTATTATTATTATTATTACATTGAATTTGACTTCCCCCCCCCCATTGCTGCTTCTGGAAACTTCCAAGGCCTCCCCAAAGGGGACACACCCCAGTTTAGGAACAAATGATGGAAGCAGAATCTTCCGGAAAGCTGGCTCGCTTATAAAAGTGCAGCAGACTTTTCTAGATCTTTGGTAGTGAGAAATAGAGTCTTTGCTGAATATACCTACATGGACCTCTCCTGAGTTTGTGTGGGTTAGGCTTCACAGGATCATTAAGGAATTAATAGTTGTGGCATTCATTTAAAGCCCAAAACCTGCTATAATATAGGAAGTCGTTTTATAATCCTCTCCTGAGTCCACTAAGGATTCCTAGTGTGGTGTAGCGGATAGAGTGATGGACTAGAACTCTGGAGAACAGGGTTCAAATCCCCATTTGGCCATGGAAACTCATTGGGGGACTGGAACTGGTAAAACTACTCCTTATGTATCTCACTTACCTTGAAAACTCTGTTAGGGTTGCTATAAATCAATTCCAACTTGACGGCACAGAAAGCACATACACCTCAACTCTGATTTGTGGTTTTGTTGTCCGCCATCATTTGGGGTTTTATGCATTTATTGTATATATCTATGTAAGGGTGTTTATTGTTTAGTTCTTTTTATTTGTGAGTTGGGTTGGGGCTATTTTATTTAGAGCAGTCATTCTCAAACTTTTTTTTCAGGGTCCCCTATAAAACAAGGATACAACATGAACAGATGAACTGGGAAAAAAAACCTTCTCACATTTTTCAGTCTGTGGCCTCATTCAAATGTGCTAGCCCCCTCCCCAAGGGCATATGGCTCCTGTTGAGAATGGTTGGCTTAGAGTAATGCTTTGCAATAAGTCAGCGGTATATAAATATATTGAGTGAGTGAGTGAGTAAGTGAGTGAGTGAGTAAATATTATGGGACACAGACGGGTATTTATTTCTTAACAGAACATATGATGGGAAACTATCAATTCCTTGTGACAGTTGATAATATTGATACTGGGTTATGAGCAAGAAAACGGGCCTTGAATTCTACTTTTCCTGAAGTATCTTCTTCCTCTCTTGCAGACGGTCCAGCTGCCTATCCAGTCCTGGTTCAGAACACCAAGCCACTGCTCACTGTCAGCTTCACATCAGGAGACATTAGCTTAATGAACAACTATGATGACTTGTCTCCTACCATCATCCGCTCAGGGTTGAAAGGTATGAAAGGGGAATTAGCCTGACTTCACCCAGATTTGCTTCTGCTGTAAATTTGGATTGCTTTGACATGAATATTCCAACATCTCTCCCTTTGAGCTCAGTTGACCCTGTGCAGTGAAGTATGCCAACAGCAGTGACCCCTACTGGTGAAAAGTCATAATTCTACTGTGGGATTCCTTCTGAAATAAACCAGCAGCTTGTTTCATGTTCTCTGGCACTGACCATAGCAAATGGCAATCATCTGCTTTCCAAAATAACCTCCAGCTTTATGGCTCGTTTTATTTTACTTTGTCTGTTCTCTTCCCTATAAGGTTTTGCAGAACCTCAAAGAAACTGAAGCCAAAAGGATGCTGGCTCTAATGTTATTTTAATTCAAAACAGTATTTCAAAGGGTTTAAAGCAGGGCTCAGTACTCAGTTGGAATGCAGAGGCAGCCATGATGACTCTAAAACAAAGTCCAGAATCACAAACTTTATTTCAATGTCACACCTTGGTCAGACAAATCTGAAAGAAAGGGGATTCAAAATTGTGTGCAGGCTTTGAAGATCATTAGATCCTTTCAATAAGCAAGGTTTTGCAAAGGGCAAGTATGGAAGAGGACAGGGAAAAGACAAAAAAGGAAAAAACAGGCTTGGTCTTAAATTCTTTATGTCCCTATCCAGTCCCTTTTGTGATGGAGAGGAAGTTGCCACTGCATCTGCTGGGAAGAAAGAGGCAAGAAATGTTTTGATCCTTTGTTATTGTAAGCATGAAGTCCAGCCATAAGTTGCTTTCCCCTTCGTCACAACCCATGAAGATATGAATCAAGGATGACACATGTGGGCCATGGAGTAAATGTTGCCCCATCCCCATTTTTATAGCTAGCGATGCTGAGGCATGCTGCTGGAGATCTCTTGGAAATGTCATTTGGCTTGAGAAAAATGTGTACAGACCTTATCTGGAAGTTGAGTTATGGCAACTGGACCTCTTTCTTGTTAGGTTGAAATGTTTTGCTATTCATCCAAGTAGCTTCCTCAGTCTGAGGAGAGGTGGTAGGAAACTTCTGATATATCTTCCAGGTTGATTTCACTTCACCCTGGTCTGAATAGGCTTATTAGTTGGACAAAGGACTGGGAGTGAGGGATGATCCCACTTCTGCAGTCCTTCTCCACCCATTCTCATGGGTTAACTGTCTTTCTGGTGTGTGTGGTCCAAATTTTTCTGGGGATGGATGAAAGGGCAGCATGATAAATAGGAGACAGATTGTATCTAAGGCCTCTACCCCTATTGAGTGAGGGATTTATATGGCCTCATTCAGCCTATTCAGACCAGGGGAAAGTGAAACCAATGTGGAAGATATTTGAGGGATCTCCTACCACCTCTCCTCAGACTGAAGAAGATACAGTGGTGCCCCGCATAGCGAGGTTAATCCGTTCCAGATTAACCATTGCTATTCGGAAACATCGCTAAACGTCATAGAAAAACCCAATGGGCCCCAAACTCACCGTTCAGCGATGTTCCTCCATAGCGCAGGCATTTTTGCGCCCTCGGTAAGCGAGGGCAGGGCGTGAAAACGCTGCCCACAGCCATTTTGGGTCTTCCGGTGGCCATTTTGGAACCGCCGAACAGCTGTTCCCCCAACATCGCAATGCGAAGATTGGTAAGCGAAACACTTACCGATCGTCGCAAAGCGATTTTTGCCCATTGGGACGATCGGCATGCGATTGTATTAGCGAGCCCAAAAAAACGGATCGCTATGCGAATTCGTCATTAAACGGTGCGCTCGTTATGCGAGGCACCACTGTACTTGGATGAGTAGCAAAACAGTTCAACCTAACAAGAAAGAGGTCCAGTTGCCATGGCTCAACTTCCAGATAACCACACCTGGATGACTGAGAATATTCACAGATATATAGTGTACAGCACTTTTAAAGCACTCTGTTTTTTGGAGTGGGTGGATGCAGGTGGAATGGTGATGTTGAAATATATGCATTGGTATCTGGTGCATTTTGGAAAGAGCAGTGCAGTCCCCCCAAACCATGGAGGTTATCCACTCTAGCTGTAGCTTAATCAGTTACACTTTCAATTAGCTATTCAGCAAGGGTCAAGTTTAAATAGTGTGGGCATGTGTAGGCAACCCTCTGATGGATTGATGGCTTTCAAAAACATCCACGTTGTAAGTATGTTATGTCGCTGTTTTGAAGATTTAGAGCTCTTCAATCATACATAGCCTAGTATGCTTTGCCTGTTTAGGAAAGAGAATTACTGTTATTCCTAATACATACTGAATGGGTAGTTCTAGTAGGTTTAAAGCTGAAAGTTAGTACTCTTGTTTACAGCAGTAGGTCTGGGTTTGTCACAGTTAGTACTCTTGTTTATAAAACAGTCAGGTTGGATGAATGTTGCCTATACAGTAGAAAAGTCTTTTTTAATCAAGTACCCCTTGCTGACTACAATCGGTTGAATAGTCTGGTTTCCATTGTGGTTTTTAATCAAGTACCCCTTGCTGACTACAATCAGTTGAATACTGTAGTCTGGTTTCCATTGTGGTTCATCTTTAATAGCTTTGGGGTCTTCATGTGGGCGTATACAGGCTTCATGCTGTTTAGCTGGAAGAACAAGGTGTGTAAAGGATTGTCACACAAAAAAGACGCCCATGTCAAGTTCTCTCCCCATCCTCAACATATAATGCATGACATTGTCATGTCATCTGCTCACCAATTCTTGCCAGCAAATGAGAGGAGGTGGAAGCTGGGAGACTGCTTTCCCCTGCAACATGAAGATCAGTACTACAGCCAGGTCATTCTTATGATCTGCTTGTTTCATAATTAGTGGCTGCTATTGCCAACATTTTTGGAAGTAAATCTCATGAGAAGTCCATCAAGTTTAAGAAAAAAATCACTGCAGCTGGAATTGAACCTATTTACTACATTGGAAATTAAGCTTCTGCTTCTTTGTGATTTTAGATGTAGTGGCTCAGTGGTGCACACAGGGCGACTTGCTGGCTGTAGCAGGCATGGAAAAACTAAGCCAACTAGCTGAACTTAGCAGCACTTCCTTTCTGAAAAGTGCACTGGTCAAGTTCTACAATGTTCATGGAGAACATATCTACACACTGGAGACACCTGTGCAGGTAGGAGTTACTCTGAAGTGTGTTCATGCAGAGTGGGAGGGGAACTGTTCCATCCTCATTCAAAGAATGACTAATGTGATCAAGGTGTACCTACCATATCTAGTTACAATTATTATTACTAATAATTATTAACAATTGTTGTTGTTTTCATAGATTTTATGTTGTTTTAATTTATTGTGAGCCACTTTGAGTTTTCTGTGGAAAGGAAGACAGCATAGAAGTAAAGTAAATAGATATTAAAATTGAGAGTAAAGGTGAAGAACAATAGTGCCAAATATAATTTAAATAACATTCCTAAATAATTTAAAGACCATGTAAAGAGCAGTGTTAATATAGAAAAAGTAGCATGTCTTCCAATAGTAAGCTAATGCCCTATGGTTGTATTTGAAAGGGTGGTATAACCTGATACTGTGTGTAATCGTAGAGTGGACGAGTCGCCCAGATAGGTGGGGTATAAATCAAATAAATAATATAATTATAGTAGCAGACAGTAATAATAATAATAATCCATAGCACCTGAAAATAATTATCTTTCCTAAGAATTACTCTTAAGGTATTCAGAAATAAATATCTAAGATATGGTATGTGTAAGGTGCTCCTTTAAATAAGGACAATAAATAGATGGTGTTTTGTTGAGAGGAAAATGTCTAAAATGTTATATTTCATGCAGCGCCCTATAATCTCAATCTGCTGGGGTCACAGGGATTCACGACTGCTCATGGCTTCTGGGCCTGCCCTGTATGTTGTCAGAGTGGAGCACAGAGTATCCAGCTTACAGCTCCTTTGCCAACAAACCATTGCTAGCTCTTTGCGGGATGATAAAGATATCAGTAAACTGACTCTGCCTCCACGGCTCTGCTCATACCTCACCACTGCCTTTATACCAACAATCAAGGTAAGCAAGCAGAAGATAACAAGTGATATGGTGGTAATTTTGTTGCAAACAGTGAACTAGCGGGGGAGTGCAGATGGAACAAAACAATGGACAGAAGTCGAGAACTTAAAGTACACAAGGCAGGGGTGTCTTGTTCACCACCATTGTCATTTATGTTGCACTTCAAGGCTACCACAGTTGAGCTCTTTGGGATTATGCATAAATAGGATTATAGGGCTGCAGATTATTTGAGTAGGTTTTAATGTCCACTTTGACATTGGGCCACTAGACTAATGCTGATGCATTAGAGATGGGTCACAACTAATAAACAGGTATGTCCGTAAGTGGCTAGCTTATTTAAAAAACCAAGCAATTAACATGTAAATGGGTAGCTTCTGAATAAAGTCAACAATTGTTTATGCTTGTAGGGACACTTCTTGTTCCAGCTGCTGCAGTTGTGGCCAGTTGTAATAATAATCAGATGGACCACGCCATCCATTAGCTGTGCCTATGCATATGTATCCCTGAATAAATAGAAAAGTTCAAACTTTCTGAATTTATGAATGAGCCAGGATTTGAAGATCTGGGAGTGGGGATGAGCAAATAAAGATTGCCTCTCTGTAATTCTGGTATCTTTAGAGAAAATGTAGGTAGCTTTATTTTGCTTCGTTTGTTTGTTTTTAAGGCTGCACTTACTACTGTGTCTTCAAAAAATAGGAGCACGTATCAGAGAAACATTTCAGGACAGGAGTAAAGCATTTGAGGCAGAATTTGGAAAAGTTGCTCTCTTTCTTTCTTTTTTTACTATAATATGCAAGAATGGAAAGACTATGTGATTTCACAGCTGTTTTTCTTATATTTCACTTAGCCTCCTATCCCAGATCCCAACAATATGAGAGACTTTGTTAGTTACCCAACATCTGGTAATGAGAGGCTCCACTGCACAATGAAGAGGACAGAAGATGACCCAGAGGTTGGAGGGCCTTGTTATACATTGTACTTGGAATACTTGGGTGGGCTGGTGCCTATCTTGAAAGGACGGAGAGTTAGCAAACTGCGACCTGAGTTTGTCATCATGGATCCTAAGACGGATGGAAAAGCAGGTACAAAACTTTTAGGTGGACTGTTGAGATTTGTTTCTAGATTCCTGTTCTGGATAGTCAGATGCAGGTATTTATATAGATTCAAATGTGCTTGAGGATTGACTGCGGCAACATCATGGATTTTATTGTAGATAGCTGATCAGTGATAAAAAAACAGCTGCTATTTGTCACAATGTCATTTAATAGAGCTTCATCCATGCATTGGAGCTCCTTTCCATGGCATAACTCATTGAATTGCAGTGCTTAGATGCATAAACTGTTCCATCCACCTAAGAACTGGCTTTGTTTTTTGCCTTCTCGTCAGCCATTCTGAAATAGAATAGAAGCAATAGGGATACTTCTAGTTATCATCTTCATCATATTGCATTATAATGTTCTCTATCCTGATGGAGGAGGAGAGAATCTTGATTAGGTAGAGCCATTTTTTGATTTTAGAGCAAGGCTTGTCAACTATCCTAACTGAACACCATTTGCTTGATTTCAGGCTGTTGCTGATGCTACGTTAGGTTCACAGAATATAAAGTGCTTTTTGCCACACTGCTGTCTCCATTGCTGCTTGTAGTATATCTTAGAGATGATTGACAGTTGTAATTGGGATCTGGTTTCTGAAACAGTGCTTTCTTTTTTCCTTTTTGGTGGGGCCTGTGTTGACAGATGAAATCTATGGAAACAGTTTGATTTCCACTGTGATTGACAGCTGCAACTGTTCTGATTCCAGCGATATTGAGCTGAGTGATGACTGGGCTGCAAAAAAGTCTCCCAAAATCACTCGAGCTAGCAAATCCCCCAAACTTCCCAGGTAATCACTTTGGCCTTTAAAAAAACCCCATCCTCCTTTTCTTTGGGTCTTTGAAGTTTTATTATGCCAAGAGGGTACCTTATGCAGTTATAACAAAGGGGAACGCTCTTCCAGAGTGCAAGGACAATGGGTTGCCTAAAGAAATGTTGCCTTTTCATTGTGGAGAGTTAGAAGACCCTAGAATTCTCTGTGGCTGGCTATGGGAATGTTGCAGACATAGCACAAAATCCATTGGTGAGTTCCAGTTGGATTCAACCCTGACTTTTGGCCCTGAGACAATTTGCATCTAGACGTTGTGCTACTAATGTTGATGTCAGCATAACAATAGAAGAGGATTTTGGCCATACTGATCAAGTGATTTTGTTTTCATTTGTTATGGTACTTTTGAAAAAGTAATAGATGACTGTGCTTTTAATAACTTCTGAGTTGTGAAACAGTCCATAGACCACATGAAGGGTTTCTTTGGCAGGGGTTGGTAAGACAGACTCTGTTTGCTGGCTCATTGCATGACAGGAACATATATTCAGCTCCTTTTAAAATTAAAGTTGTTATTATCATTGAAGCCATTAGAAACCTGTTGTAATTTTAACCACTATCCATTAAATTGAATGCCATGTTCTGTTTATACAGGGACAGAGAGTATCTATTGGTGTTTGCTTGATCATTGTCCTGTTTGTTTATATGCAGAATTAATATTGAGGCTCGCAAATCTCCAAAGTTATCACGAGCTGCTCAGGAGATATCAAGATCTCCCAGATTGCCAATCAGGAAGCCCTCCATAGGTTCACCAAGCCTAACTCGTCGAGAGTTTCCTTTGGAAGATATCACTCAGGTAACAACACAATCCACTTATGAAAATATTGCTTGTCCTGGGTAGAACCAGAACAAAGGAAATGTCTTTGTGGCAGGGCAGGACGTAGTTCACTTTCTAGCATGTAACCTGGTTCAGAGTTCTCTCCTCCACAGTGAACTTATTGAGTTGCTGGAGGCATGCCACTCTTTCTCAGTGTTGCTCTCGGCAATATAGGGATAATAACTATTATTAACATTACAGGACTTTGACAATGATTACAACGTTGATGTATGTGGCCACTATAAAGAAGTATATAATGCTTTTCATATTTTTTTTCCTTGCAGCACAACTACCTTGCTCAGGTCACGTCAAATATTTGGGGAACCAAATTCAAAATTGTGGGTTTGGCTGCTTTCCTACCAACCAATCTTGGTGCAGGTAAAATTAACCCTAAGGATTCTCTGAAACTAGAAGCCGTATATTTTCTTAACAGTAGTTTAAACTGCATCAAATTCTAACATGGAGCAAGCAGTAAAAAATATGGTCAGCAAATTATTATGTGTGTCTGTAGTAGTTGTAGCTGTTCTTGTTGTTGTTACATGCCATCAAGTTACCTCTGACTTATAGCAGCCCTATGAATGAGCCATCTCTAAAAGGTCCTCTCCTCAACTGCCCTGCTCAGCTCTTGTCAATTGAAGCTTGTGGCTTCCTTTAGGGATCCAGTCCATCTTACATTTGGTCTACTTCTTTTCCTGCTGCCTTTCATCTCTCCCAGCATTATTGTCTTTTCCAGAGAATCCAGTTTCCTTATCATGTACCCAAAATAGGACAGACTCAGTTTCAACATTTTTGCCTCAAAAGATAGGTTCAGGCTTGATAGTTTGTATTTCTGGCAGTTCAGGGTTACCTGAAAAGCTGTCCTCCAGCACCATATTTCAAACAAATCATTTTTTCCCTGTCAGCTTTCTTAACTATCCAGCTTTCACATCCAAACATGGGGATCAGACATACAAGAATGTATCTTGCCCTTGGCCTTCAGTGACACATCCTTATACTTGATTATATTGTCTAATTTCTTCCTTGCTGCCCTTCCTAGTCTCAGTCTTTTGATTTCTTGGCTGCAGTCACCATTTGGATTCATGATTGAACATAATCTCATACAAAATTTTTAACTATTTCAATATTTTTATTGTCAGTGCTAAAGTAGTGTAGTACTTCTGTAATCATGATTTTTGTCTTCTTAATACAGTGGTGCCTCGCTTAACGATTTTAATTGGTTAAAAAAACCATTGCTATGGGAAAACATCGCTAAACGAAACGTGTTTTCCCATAGAGATGCATTGAAAACCGGATAATCTGTTCCAATAGGAACGGATTATCCGGTTTTCTCCCCCACCATCGGGCGCAGCGCTTTGGTAGAAGCCTCCCGGTGGGGGAAAAAGATCAAATCGGCTTCAGACTTCCTTCCCCACAGCCCGGCTCATCCAAAAGGGGTGTCCCAATTGTGCTTGCAGCAGCAGAGGAGGTGCCCGGTGGAGGAGAAGGCAGGAGCCGATCTGTCATTTCTCCTCCACCGGGCACCTCTTCCGCTGCTGCAAGCAACTTCGGGGCAGCCCTTTGGGAGGATCCGGGCT